TGTAATTGACTGCAAAGGATTTGCAACCAAGTATTAAAAAAGTGAAAGTTTGATTTATGATTATTATTCTGTCCCATTACTTTTGGTCCCTTAACAAGTGGGAGGCACATATGCAAACTGTTGTAATTCCTACACCGTTCACCTGATTTGAATGTAAATACCCTCAAATTAAAGCTGACAGTCTGCAGTTAAAGCACATCTTGTTCGTTTCATTTGTAATCCATTGTGGTGGTGTATAGAGCCAAAAATGTTAGAATCGTGTCGATGTCCCAATATTTATGGACCTGACTGTATATACACATACACATACACACACACACACACACACACACACGTACATATATATATATATATATATATATATATATATATATATATATATATACACATGTTTATAGCCTACAGCAAATGATATACTACGGCATACAATTAACCTTAGTTTAAAATCTATTTAAACTTAATATTGTAATAAAGTGAAAAACTGAAAATTGGTTGTTTGCTTTGTTAGCAGATCAAGTGTACGAGCTACATACACTCAGGCACCACTGAGTATACATAGATATATGAATTAAATAATGCGCTAATCAGTGTGAAAACTGGCTGCTGGAGTAACAGACTTTGTGCCAGGTTTGTGCCAACTGTAACTAAGTGTACTAGCTACAAACACTCTCCAGAGGCACCAATGATCTCCGCTACTTCCTTCCAAGCTCTACTGTTTTTCATAATGTCTCTATACACATTTAATAAGAGCTTGTATATGACAGGAAAATATGTTATATGTTGTTATAAATGAACTAATTGCAGATAGGAATTAGAGTTGTGAGTGGGGAAATAAAAAAAATAATAATAAAAAAGTTGCACCACGTATGTGCCCATATGACCGGTCTGTGCAATTATTCGAGCCAAGTGGTTATATTTATCGCTTTACGCCATCAGACCTAAATTGCACAGAGTTTAGAAAATCTCAGCTCATGTTACTTGTTGCTTTGTCGCTTGCTGCTGGCACTGAAATCACGGCTGTGTGTCACACGTGCAGTCGCCTGTCGCACAATCGTGCGAGTTTCTTATCGATCAGTTTATTGATGGTCATGTAAATAACTCAAGTTGGTTTGTAGTCAGAACATCAAACTAATGCCACCCTTTCACCCCCAAGTCCCTGACATCAACGATTCTTGGTTCTAGACCAGAAGACGACTTGCTAGATAAGTACCGGCAGTTTTGTGGTGGAAAAATCACAGAATGGTTGAGTGTCAGGCACCAGGAACTGGTCACTGAGATTTCACTTTGTTGTCATGGGTCCATTTGAACTGCTCACCTGCTTGGTAGACTTCTTCGTGCCGTTGTAGATTCTCCAGCTCATCCCCGGTCCTCCGCTGGCAATGTGGCGGCCGACTTCAAACTCCCGCGTCACAGGGTTTCCCATCACAGCACTGGTGACGTCAGCCGTCACCTTGGTAACGGTGCTCTTTAACTTATTGAGCATGGACTCCATGGTTTAGTTGGCTGTCAACCTATGAGGATCAGAGCAAAAGTCCATCACAGGGCACCAGGTGCACACACACACACACACACACACACATCCGTGTTCGCCAACTGACCCAAAAAATTACACTAAAAAAAATGTGTAGTAAGAGGGACAAGGTTAATTATTGGTGTACTCTGTGTTGAGCAGCAGTGCCTGGGCACAGAGTCATCCTGAGGTGCTAAGCAACCCAGTGCTATGTGTTATTCTCACACACACACTTCTCTTCACAGCCAAATATCTCGCTCTCACTCACTTCTAGTCACTTTCACACTAGCTCACATACCCATCTGCTTTTTCTCCCTCGCCTTTCTCCTCACGAGTGAGAAACAAAGGCCTTATAA